TAACGGATTTCAACTTTTCTTTTGTTTCCAATCAACAAAATTGATATTTGGAACCTGTTATTTATGTTTAAAATTATTTTGAAAATGACCTGTCTATTATGGGAATACTTTAAATATTCTTTGTCATAAGACAGATGCTAGTTCAGCTAGTACACAAACACATAAAGTACCACAACTATATTCATAATTCATTCGATGAAATTTTATAAATTATTTTATTTTGAAATCACAATCAAATTACTTGTTTGAGAGAAGTAAATGAATAAGTAAATATTTCAGCGGGTTTCCTCCAAGGAGCCGAATCAAAACCATGCAGTATTTTTTTTCGGATGTCAAAATATTGTATAGACTTTCCCACAAATATACTACATAACATAATTAATAAATAAAAGAGATAAATAAAACCTATATAAAAAGCATTTTTCTAACTCCTAGAATATGTTGTGATTTAAAGCTAAATTTAATTGTTTTGTTTTTATTATCATGGCAATTGTCTAACATTCAATGGTAAGTGGTGTACAAGAAATTCCAATACATAATAAACTGATGCTAAACCTCCAGCATCAACATGGCATTGACATACTTTATTTAAATGATCTATATCACTGCTCGGATGCATGTAGTTTTCATTAGTTTCTTTGAAATGTTTCCTATACTAGGGCCTTGCTGTTTTGAAGCATATTCGCGAACATTAAGATTTCGAGAATATTACTGAACTGGAGAAACCACTTAACCAACATTTCGGCGAGTAAAGCATGTACATATTGTTTATAAATAAACCTAACAGTTCCAGAGACATGGCTAATATAAATAGTTATTTGCAGTAGCGACGTTTACACTGGCAAACACAGAGGGTGTATGATAATTGACCACACACGTGATCATGACATAGTACTTTGGTCGTGTCTTTTGTCTGACCCCGTGGGCACGTCTTCATTCTCATTGATAGATTTGCTCGAAACCTGACCGGATTTCTGTCGATGTTGATGCTACGAAGCGGCGCGATTAGCAAAGAGTACGGGCAATCACCTAATGAAAGCAAAAAGACCTCGAACGTCAGAAGGGAATCATGTTAAGCTTTTCATGGCCACCAAAGCTTACTTTAATTTTGTAATTGCTGGACAGGGATTCCTTAATGTAGAAAACACCGCTGTATGCTACATTTGCATAAAGCACCGCGACAGAACAATGAAACCGGACAAAGCTTTCCGCCCTGTAAACCAAATATTAGTTTTGCATTGAATCTGACCACAAGAGGTGTGCTTTAGCCATTGCCCAGATGACCAATACAGTTAGGACAACCGAGAATCGTTTCCTCTTCAATGATCGTACTGACCAGCTAATTCAATAATCAAAGTTCAGGCTTGAGTCAGCACACAGGCACATCATATTAACAGTTGCCATTATCAGCGCGGATCTTCATGAACCAACGCGTTACGAGCGCAGTATTGACCTATGTTGTTGATTAAAGTTGCTTTCCCTCATTCAGGGGGTCAAAATTGCCCCCCTGTGGTAGTAGGTGTCACGTGTTGGTTCTCGTTTTCGGGTAACAATGCGACAAGAGATACAATTGAGATTTTAAAGTGTGTCATTCGACTAATGGTTGAGTTTTCGAAAGGACCCTAGACCCACGGGGCTCGTGGTTTAAACACCCGGTAATGTCGTCACGTGCTAAAGATATCACAAATAATGTATTACTATCGGGGCATTAAGAGACGATCTGACACTGGTGTTAGTCTAATAGAGAATTTATTATGATCTATTCAACCGTATTTCTGATTTCTGGATCTGAGAAAGGTTGAATGAAATTTCTCTAACCATGCACGATTCTTTATAATAACCCGGAAAAATCAAAGTCTTAGAATCACGATCGCTCCTCAAGCTAATGAATTCCAAATTTCAAAATATTCTAACTCCCTGAAAGGCCCACAATATATAATTGTCTTTGTATGAATAATAGGAAAGAAAACAAAGGATGGGTGCCAATTTGGGCCTCCTTGTGGCTATCATCGAAACTTTTTTTTTAAACACATATCTTTGGTTTATGCCGTAATTGATATTGCATGAAATTAAGGTCCGCTTGGAAACCACCTCAAGAATCGCAAGGAAATGGCGGCGTTTACGTTCTGCATGCCTTTTTTATACTTTAACTATTTTATTCATAATTAGTATTTTTTTGCACAAAAGCCGCCACACATTTTATCTTTTATTTAGACATACGCCAGATTATAGTGATATTAGACCAGAATATAGACAGATATATCTGAATACTTTGTACCTTGCTAACTGCTTGTAAACACCTGATTTTTGTATGACAGTGCTATCAGCAAATGCACGGTCATCTATAGAGCAGTGACAAATGATTAAAATGAATGGTACACATAAAATATTACGTTAAACAGTTAGGATTGCTATTTTGGCATAACAGAATGTATATCCACCCCCTGACACATAATTTACATATCTATTTGGGAATAGGTCCTTATTTACAATGAATAAAAATTATCGGCACCTTAATAGACATCTATAGTGAAGCCTGTTACCCTGTATCAACCGTTACGATCACTGCGGTCGGAGTCAGAATCTTTGTTGTGTGTCCCAAAATCTCGTACTGTGACCTACGGAAACAGATGCTTTGGTAGGGTTTCGGCTACGTTGTGGAATAGCTTACCATCTGCTATTAGAAAGTCAAATACCCTGGCCAAGTTCAAGAGGGACATCAAAAACTCTCCTCTTCACGTCTGCGTTTTAGAATCCTTGCAAGGACGTCCTGTAAACACCACCCTTTTATTTGTTCAATTATGTGCACATTGCTTGCTTAAATGTATTAAATGTGGTGGGACTCTCTACCTTAACTTAAGACTCATATTAAAACCATTGAAACAAATCGTTAATTTAAGATTTCATCTTAATTCAGTAATGCTTGTTAATGGAAAAAAAGTTCTGCAACGTTTGTGAAACTAGAGCCTGGTACCCACCAATCAAACCACCATTTTCCTCGTATATTAATCATCGTGTCATTGCTGAGATGGAGGTTTTGTTTAAACGTTATTGGTAGACTATTTGTTTTTTACTTTCTGTTTTGTTTATTTTTGATTTGTTTAAATACGATGTTTAATAGATTTGTATGTGCCTTCCTTAGTCAAATCATGTAGCGAGTGTAATACAAAATTGGGAGAATTGTGAAAATTGGTTAAATATTTCAACGGTTCACAATCTCAGTCATCGAACAAGAATGTTTTATACTGAGAACAATTGTTAAATTCCATATCAAAACATAAAAATATTAAATCACAAATCATCTACAATCCGAAATTAACCAATCCGTATTCCATTTTACATCATTATAATGTACATGTACCTAATCAATGCTTAGTTTGTTTTGAACACGAACAGTAAATGGAAAACATCTTTTTACGAGATTTCTTCTAGCGTCTGTTTCATATGTCAAGCAAAGAGTGCAAATGACCGGTCTCTCGACTCTATAACGCGGAAAATAACGGACCAAACTGCAATGCACCAAGTCAGTAAAGTCAGCGTTCAGACATTCTCGAGACATCTCGCCAGATAGAACCCTAATACTAGAGAGTCAGAGAGACGGAAAATAAAATATATTTACCTATTCCGCCCTAAAATAAATATTCCATTTCTGTTTGGCTTCAAAAGAGACTTATAATTTATTATTCATAGCAAACTGATGAATCTCATTCCGAATATCATAATGTACCTAATGTAAATATGAACAGTAATTCAGGTGTATCCGCCCACTTTTTACAGCAGGCTTTTTACAACACCGGGCACATCTGACGGGACAGATACTATATGATATTATACCTTGTGAATATTAATATAGTTTACTTGTAACAGCTAAGGAATATGAAGGGACTGGCAAGCTAGCTTTTCCAGTGATGCGGTATAACCCGGGGACCCGCTCTCTAGTTTAGCAACGTCTTCCCCCCAGTAGCCGAACGCTTTTTTGTTTGGAACTCTTCGTCTATTTTCCACTGATCAAATGGACGAATTAAAACAAAAATTGGTTCCAAAATATTAAGCGCCATTTTACGATATGGTAACGTGACGACGGCATTATTCCGCCCTCGATGTCATTTTGTCCGCCATGTTGTTTGGTTCAAAATATCAGGAAGAAAAGTGAAAATTATGTATGATGGATTATAATTTACAGAAACTATCATATACATAATAATGAGCAATGGTAGGTATGTTGGTTTGGTTTGGTTTAAATTTGTTTAACGTCCTATTAACAGCTAAAGTCATTTAAGGACGTGCCTCCATGTGTGTAGTGTATGCGTGATTGCGTGTGTGTATGCAGGAGACAGTGTATCTTGGTGTACTTGCCTCCTTGTGATAGTGTGGATCTGATGCCAACTTTATAGTGCTATCTCACTGAAACACCATGCCAAAGTTACCAAGCATATCATTCCGCCGGTCACATTATACTGACAACGGAGTGTTGTCATAAAAGCAATACCAAAGTAAGTGTATCGGACGTTTCCGATTTCACTCGTTCGTAGCGCGAATGGATACAAATATATTTCACTCGGGTTAAACCCTCGTAAAATATATCATTACGCGTAATGTACTCGTACAATCGGGGGCGTCAGGTGAACGAACATGTGCGGTAGTGCCTATATATACATTTATAGATCAAAAACTTATAATGTGACTGTTTAAATCGGGGGTCGTTGCTATTAACTTAATTCATAGGGGAAATCGGGGTCCAGCTTTTTGCAAGACGTTATCATTCAATATCGATTCTGCTAATTAACTGAATAAGAATTCGCATTGTCTGTATCAAAGTTATCCTCGATACACATTCCATACTCCTCCCAGATGATTTGGGAGTGCTACATAGGTTGGCAATGGCAACACTGGTATCTTGTTTGCCTCGGTGGGTACTAATGAAACAATTTCCGTCCGAAATCTCGTACATTCCCGCGGGACTTTGTGCCTTGTTTCACGATTATGTCTGTTCGTTTCAGGGTCCATAGCTAATATAGGAGGCTACGAAAACAAGTGTACCAACCATTCTGACCTTGAGCTACATCTAAAGGTCATCCCAGGAGTGCTTGGGGCGCCCTCGAGTGTGACATCAATCCAGGTTGCGACTCTCCTCAAACTCTTCAAGATTCCACAGGTAAGACTTTGATATATTTCCTGAGTATACCAATCTTCCCCAAGAAGGAAGATATTTAAAAAAAGATTTTGCTTTTAGTTAATACTTGAGGAGTAATATATTCACTCCTTGGTGTTATTTACAACTTACATGTACATCAGTCATAATTCATACCTAAAGTTTGAATTCCCTCCAGGTCCTGTATCGGTCTATGTGCCGAAAGAAATAATTCAGTGTATTTGGGTCAGACATTTTAAAATTCCTTTACCTGTCCAAGTGAATGGAAAACCCCTGCTGTACTTATTGTGTCCCCTTGGAAAGTCTGTATTCTTCTGTAACATTTTCAGGTATAAATCCAGCCGGACATGCGTATGATTTTGCAGGCCTTACACCGCTTTGTCAAGGCTTTCTTTCATTAACAAACAACTCTAGTCCAACCCGTTGAACCGCTTAGATCGCGACAAACAAAAGCGTGCCAGGATAACCTAGTGGTTAAAACCGGGTGTGCGCATGTTGTTTTGCAATTAACAATTGGCACATCTACACACTAGTCTGTGGTCTGATCCCTAACGGTCGCTTGTCGATTATAAGCTTTTTTGTACAAAACACATTTGATATCCCTTTCTTCGAATTCAGATAGCCGATTATTACAAAATTCACTTGCCCGGCTTAAGTAGTCTTGGGGAAAACCTTGTCCTTTTCTATGGACATTACGTATCACAGTGGAAATGTTTTATTTTTTCTCTTTAACACTCTGCCAATCCGGCGCGGCGGTGTCTCCCGAAGCAACTTTGTCTTGCCCTTTACCTGTAAGGGATGTCATCTTACCTTCTCGAAGCTGTTTGGTTTGGTTCAGTTTATCTGTGCTTTACGTTCTATTAACAACTTGTTTTTTCGTTGTCAATACAGTTAAACCTTGTTATAATGTCATCATTTATGCAGAGATATTTTGGCGTTATATTGGGACTTGGCGATAAATCGAGGGAAACGTTGAAAATAATTCATAAGTCAAAAAGGCAAAAAAGGAATCTTGAAATACGTTGGCAGTAAGTGGACCTGGCAAATGAAACGAGGGGGCGCGTTATATCGAAAGTTTACTGTATTCCAGTCTGTATTTGGGAATGTGATATAACCTGAATCCGACATAGATTCAAATGACGGGTTCCGCGGATGAAGCCCTTCCAAACACCTGCATGGTTTGGTTCCGTATTATGAGTGTGGCTTAAGTGTTGTATAATAATAGTGGATTTGTTATTAGCGATGAGTCTTGTTTTAAACCTGCTAATCAGTTTACAGCCTAACGAAGACCCGTATTATTACAGTAGCTATTTTTAATCAGAAAGATATATATCTAGGTCGATCTGTCCCATTAATAATTATCTCAACCCAATGTTGAACAATGGAAATATGGGTTGGGTATTGCACGCAAATTTTCAAATTGCAATATGGTTATACTGTGAAATCATAAATGTTCATGGGACATTATATTTTGTTTATTTCGTGAATAACAAAAAACGCGAAATTAAATCCCCACGAAAACATAAATTTGGTATGATATAGACCCCATCTTACATTTCGTTACAATGTGTCGTGTAACCCTTGAGAGGTAGCTTTCATGACCCGTGTTCTTAACTTAACAACCTCTCCAATGATCATTTCCTGAGATTACTATTAGTAAAAGCAACGCGACAAATTTCAACTGTACTTTGTAAGCAATGACCAATACAAAATATGTTAACTTTATATAAGACGGTGCTGATTTCTTGAAGACACCTGCCATCTAATTCTACAGATGAACTGTTAGCGTCTGTGTAATATACTGTCTCTAAGAGAGACTGTCCAGAATTTTGATGTTGTTATAGTAATTTCGTGTAGATATAGTCCGATGTCCATTTTACTTTCTATTTGTAATCTTTTATCAGAGGTATAAACATAATTTATTTGGGTTGATTAATTTGAGCATCATATGATGCCGTTGGAAGCACGGTCCCACTACAAACAGAACACGTTACATCTCCAGCATATACGCAGGCATACACACATAGGGAGATATTAGCCTGGTAGCATGTGACTAGTAGTTAGCGCCTAATAAGGCAGCTCCTGTGAATTCCTCAAAAAATTGTATTGATTAATGTATATGCTAATTGTATTGATGGTATAACTTGTATATCTATGTACTGTAAAGCGCTTTAGAGTGGCTTATGTTATCTAGATAGGGCGCTATATCAAATGCTGTTTATTTATTTATTAGTTCAAAAGGCTTCAAGAACAAATTGAATTTTTTTTCATAATGTTCATTTGGTCCCTCCTCCTCAAACCAAAATTGAACAAACAAACAAACAAACAACAAAGGATGAGTGTCTATAAGGCCCTTTTTGGGCCCCTGTATATTCGGATTTTTACTTCCTTAATTTGTTCAAAAATTGTCCAATTGTATCAATGGGCAAAAACTAAGGCAAAAGTTTGACCGAAAGTGGGTACCAAATGGGGTAGGGTAAATCATAGATATAACTAGTTTTTTTCAAATTGAGCTTTAACAACCAAAATAATACCATTTCTGTTTTTTTTGAAACATGTATAAATTAAACAGGCATATATAAAAGAATGAAAAATGACAGAAATTCAATCGTCACTTAAAGATTGTTTATATAAAACGGATGATTAAGTTATGGGGTTGTTTAAGGTAATTTTTAAATGAAAGGTGTTTTCGTTTTCTTAATAATTTCCTTTCTAATTTGAATTTTGAGTTGAAATTTACTAATTTACTCATTTTAGTACACTTACATAAAATGCATATTCACTACACTCTTACCTTTTGTTTTATACTGAGTTATGGTTTCTGGACACATCTTAATCTTGGCAATTTCAAATATCTCTCAAGCTTATGTGAATTTAAAGGTGCATGACCCTATAAAAGCTATTGATAGTTGACATTGTATATTATATATATCATATAACAGTTGCTCAACACCTGTGGCTGAAGTGAGTTCCTGGTCCAGATTTGTTTTCTTACTTATCAAAGTTTACTGGCCACCACAACTAGTTTAAAATGATTAATTAAATATATGAACTTTGATTTGCTGATAATTTTAAGTCTCCTAGCCTCAAAGAAAGTGGCTGTTTTAATCGTTACAGTAAACCCATTTCATTGTTTTATCAATTGTTCTACTTATTTCCAATAATAAGGGCTGATTGTACATAAAAGGCATTTTGTAATAAGCATGCTACTTGGCATAGATATTAGTTATATGATGATAATTAATTTGTGAAAGTTTCATACTTATCCCACAATGCCTTTTTACTTAAAAAGCACATTTGCTTGTGTTTTGGAGTACAAGTGCATCTCCTTGCCTAACACCAAATATTTCCTTACCCAACTAGTCTATACAACTTAGTCACTCTCTTTGTGTATTCAAAGCATGAACTATCTGGCTTTTGGTCAGCCTAGTATATCATACACACCTCTGACTACTATAAACACTCTACTGAGCCTGTTTAATCTACATACTTTCTTATAGACTGGTATTGTAAGGGAACAATTACATGACTTAATCTTCCGTTTTATATATACAATCTTTAAGTGATAATTTAATTTCTGTCATTTTTCATTTTTTTTCAAACCCCCAAGCGGCGCAAAGCACCGCCGGGGTTTGATCTGTAAACACTTTGTCTACTTCCTGTGCTTCCCCATGCGTGAAAGCCTTCTGGGAAATTAAGGCCGCATACCGTCTTCAAAAATATGATGGTCTACGGTATCGGTATTTCTTAGTTTACAAGTGAAATATCATGAATTCTCCATTAGATAAAAGCATATCATTAATGTAGTGAAGATAAACGAAACATTAATTATATCTTCACGAATAAAAACTTCATTCTTAGTATTGTCCAATCTGAACGGTACATTATATTCTCTGCGTAGATTTTCAGTTTCAAGTTTAGTTGAAGTGACGGCAGAGTAAGTGGTTGTATTGTCTACCTTTGCAGCATTCATTATTGTTTTTACATAACTACACAATTAATATAATTTTTGTCTGGAAATACCAGATAATACTATCAAACGTCAAAATTGAAGTGAAAACCCATTCAAATTGGCGCTCCGTATTGTTGTCAAGCGTGACGTCATTACAACTTGGCGTCAAAAACTGCGTTACATATTCCCGCGCTTTTCTGGTGTAGCAATATTTGCACAGCGTGACGTGAAAAAAATGAAAGAAATAGAAAATTTCATGGTTTTCCCGTTCAATACGATACATTTATTTCACTTGTATATGTGATAACAACCAAAATACCAGCGTTGAGGCAAAATGTGTTTTCGTAGCAGTCTCGAGAAGTAATAACAATTATTCAAAGGGGTGGGAGCTACGATTGACGCTTTAACCTAGAAGATGCTTAATAATTTATCCAAAATAGTCAAATAGGTACATTGTCAAAAGAAATATTTGCAAAAATCGCTGCAATTTCGACAAAAGGTATAAGTTATCTTTGATGTTAATCATCTTAAAAGTCCCGGCTTTTCTCTCTCAGAAGATGACGTTATTGCCAAATCATTGACATTTCGGCCTAAACGTGTGGTTAAAACTGTATATTTGCGTGCTGTGGGACATTATTGAGCGACAATAGTGCAAAACGTAGGGATATTGAGCGTGAACGGAATATTCTGAACGACAATATTAATGTCATTAATAATTTATATAATTATAATTAAATAGACTCAAGTATGCAGGATCCTTTCCCTCGTGGTTGATGGACTGTCAGCTGATCATTTTCATTAAAAGGTTTGGTGTCCAGCAGCTTTGCTGCATTTTCTTGTTTTGTTTATGCCTGTTTAATTTACACATGTTTCCAAAAACAGACTTGGTATTAGTCTGGTTGTTTTAGCTCATTTTGAAAACAGCAAATTATATTTGTTGTTTTACCAATTAGACATTTTTTAATAAATTAAGGAGGTGAATATCCGTATATAGAGATGTACCGGGGCCTAAAAAGGGCCTTATAGACACTCATCCTTTGGGTACTATTGA